GTGTTACAATAATTAGGACATAATTCTTGGTATGAAAAACTCACAAATACAAACACCTAATAAATTACTCAGAGATACTCTCTGAGAAATTAAAAATTAAAAAAAATTAGAAAATAATACTTTTAAAGGAAAAAAGGAAGAGCATAATTATTTACAAATATATTATAAAGCTACTTTAAATCTTTTAAAAGTGTAACAAATTTCTTAAAATTCAAGATTTTATCAAACATCTTCATACACTGAATGCAAATGGTATTTTTGCTCTTAATTTTTGAAATGATGAAAAGAGAATATATTTTAAAGCCTTAAAGATAACCTATATTAACAGCCAACAAATATAAAAGAAACATAAAGCATAAAATTATTTAAGCATAGTAATAAACACCTTGAGTAACTATTATAGTAAATTCAAACTGAAAAAATTATCTTAGTAATAATCTTAGATACAGAGTCTAACATTGTATATTTTTTACATTCCAATAAAAGAAAATGTTTCAACTGGCTTTGTTAGATGTAGGTAAACACTTGGTACTACAACAAAAGTTGTCAAATATTAACATCAAAGTATAAACTAAAAGAAAAAGGAAATCATTGCTAAATTTCATGTGCTTCTAATATAACATCGAAATAGACAAAAATAATATGGAGGTATAATTAACTATAAATCATATAAATTACAGGGTTTGAGAAAAATGAATAAGGATTCAGAACACTTAAAACATCAATTTAGTCACAAACACCCATATTAATCTACAATAAAAGCATCATTTTTCAAAAAAAATTGGTTGAAAAACACAGTATCTGATCACAATTCAATAAAATGATTAATAAAGTTACAGATTCAAAACCATTGTTCCAGTTATGTAAGTCAAAATGAAAATAAAACAAAGAGAGTGGAAATCACAGACTATTTCCAAAGTGACGCCAGCGAGAATGCTAACCAAGTGGGAGCCGGCAAAAGGCGCAGTTCTGAGGGTCGGGTCTAACTGCCTGCCCATGGCAATGACACAGTACGACAACCAACTAAGCACACGAACCAATAAACACGCCCCAGGAGAGTAGATGATAGTATTAATAAATACATCAAGGCGAGCATGGCTGAATTAGGTAGTGGGAACTTTCTGTTGGGTTTGCACAGCAAACTAACAAAGCTCTGTCCTTCCTCTCCTGAAAGCAATTTGGATCTATATGCTTCAGGCCACCATTCATTAATCTAAAAAAATAAAAAATAAAAAGAAGGAAGGGAGGGAGGGAGGGAGAAAGGAAGGAAGGAAGGGAGGAAGGAAGGAAGGCTGGTTGTGAATGAATTCTTAAAAACAGAACACATGGGGGTTCTGATATTGCAAAGGTCAAGACCTGCAGCGGAGGAATGCCAGCTACCAGGAAGGAGCCAGTCTGTAATTGGTCCTCACCTTTCCCACACAACCCTGCTAAGTGCACACCTGGGGGAAAATCAGGCTAGCAGGCTCCACACCCTGAAGCTGTGACCTCCTGACTGCTAATTTAACTTCTGGGCCACGTGACAGGAACCTCTGGCGCGCTGACGGTAGGAAGGGAGCCACAGCAACAGGAGTAAATGAACCCTGCAAAAGTGTCTCATCATAGTAAGGGCGGAGGGAGCTGGAGACAACCCCACTGTAACAAGCAGACTTGTCAGCATCCCCAGCTAAGACTCCTGAAACACAAGACAGGTGGCCACAGAAGAGTTCACAGGTAATATGCTAGAGTTATCATTTTGCTAATGATTACTGATACTGATCTACTTTCCATATTATACTTAAAATTGACTCAAACTACTGGGAAAGTAAAATAAAAAAATAACATTCAGGCAACAGATAAAAATTTGATATTTATGATGACAGGTAGGAAAAAAGAAAAAGGAATATAACTATCAAGCCAAGAGGGCAAAATTTCTAACAGGCATTTAAAGAAAACATAAACGGACGATAATCACTAATAAAGTCACATAAAGACTCCCATAATAATGTATTTAACAGTGAGGTTGGGAACTAGGCTGCTGACAGAAAACACATTTGAATAAAAGTATACAGAATGGATAAAAATAAACAAACTCAGATGCTATGAAGGGAATGTCAGGCAAAAGAAACCTGGTGATGAGTTTTACTATTAACCAAAATAGAACTGGGGCAAAGTAAATAAATAGGATAGGGTAACAATGCTGACTGTAAGTGCAGCTAATAAGAAAGTTAAGATACATAAAACTATAAGTGACAGGATTATAAGGATGGATAAAGGGCAGTTGCTGACTTTAACATGGAGACCTTTCAGAAACTGGCAGATCAGTGGACTTAGCTGTGGGGGAATAAGATTTTCAGGTGTGTGACTTTTGTTTATGCTGCATTTATTTAACTCTGAAGCTGTGTTACTGTGTCTGTATAAAACACCAATGGACAGGAGTAAGGAAGGTTGGGCTAGCAGGCAGAGAGGATAAATAACAGGGGAACTCTGGGAGAAGAGAGAATGAAGAACAAGTCAACAAGGAGAGGAGGACATGGGTCAGCCACCCAGCCAGTCATGGAGTAAGAAGGAAGGAAAGGTTACAGATGCAGAGAAGGGTAAAAGCCCAGAGGCAAAAGGTAGTCAGGATAATTTAAGAAAAGCTGGCAAGAAACAAGCCAAGCTAAGGCCAGGCATTCAGAACTAAGAATAAGCCTCCATGTGTGATGTACTTGAGAGCTAGATGAGAGTAAAACACACCACAAGAGTCAGCTACGGAAGGAGAGGGCTGACCAACCCTACTGCTTCTGCTCATTTCCTGGAGCACCAGGTTCTGGGAGAGAGGGAGCCAGAGCCTCTAGCTGTGTGCACACTGGTGAGCGCACCAGGCTCCGATAGCTAACTCTAAACCAGAATCACAGGGCCCTCGTTAAATCCCATGGGACGCAAGACAAAACAAAATCAGAGTACAGAGAAGATTACTGTAAGGAATAAGGAGACAGGAAGAGTCTTTGGAAAATCAGGAGTCACGGGTGGGGAAAGTGACAGATGCATTACAGACACACATGAAATTATCACAGAAAAAAATTCACAAGAAATTTCAAATGAATGAAGAACTTTTTCCATAAAATGCACAAAACTCAATATGACAGAATTTCAGGATCAGCACTCCCTATCTTCAGAAACGATTAAGCCCCTTCAGGCAGGTCGTGTTTGACACAGGAAGTCTCTCCCTCACACTGAGGCTAGCAAAGTCTCTGTAACAGTTTTTAGTTATGTCAGTCATTTCTTCCATTGCCTACAGCTGGGGAGTCAGGCAACAGTAAAGGGTGTGCGCAATTCTGAGGGTTTGGAGAAAACACTCTAAGCACATATTGTTATAAACTTGAATTAAAAGAGTATTAGCATAAGAAAGATGTCATTTGCCCACAAATCAACTTACTAATTTGAGTACAATAAAATAAAAGGGAATTAATAAAGTGACCCGTTTCCTTGAATGAGATGAGACTAAAGTAACTTTACAGAGAAAAGCTGGCCTGGAGATGCACAGATCAGCGGTAGACACAGGGCTAACGTCAATGGCCCTAGGTGCGACTTCCCAGTACCAGTGAATGCTCAGCCTCAAAGGAGGCCTCTCAATCCCCCCTCCCCACACAGGTCTCAGGGAACAGTGAGGAATAAGGGGTAAAGAGAACACAAGAGCCAGAGGAATGTTGTAAAATGCTGTCACCGGCAGATGACACAGCCATTAAGACCAGGTCAGTCAACACTCCAGCAGGCAGCACTAACTGGAACCTGTGTTTCCTCAGGCCCCCAAGGAAACGACAAGCAGGAAGGACGGGGTGATAGTCCTGGGTGGGATCTGAGGGTAACGGGAGGGGTGAACTGGGTGGCTAGGATCAAGGTATATAGTGTACATGCATGAAATTGTTAGAGAAAATAAACAGAAGGAAAGTTAAGATGGATCTTCTTTACTAGCCACTGGCGCTAACGTCTGAAGAAAATGGCAAAGCCTTCTGAGCAAAGGAAACAACCCTTAATCAATGTGCTGACCATGGTGTCAATTACGTGAAGAAATCAAGTCAGGCGCACTATACAATGAATTCTCAGTACATGCCTGATGCCAATTAGTGAGTATTTAACTGCTAACTAACTGGCAAGAACTGTGCAAACACAGAGGGCACAATCTGCTGAACAATCATGATCATAGAATCAAATTGGAAAACATAGCTGGCCTAAAGTAAGACTGGGTAAGGTAGTCACAGCTTGTGGCTTTGCCAAAGCAACAAAATGGATATTTTTAAAGTAATTAAGAGAATCCCTCAACACCAGACTTGGGGGAGAAAAATCTATCTGGTTCTCTATCTGCACACTAAGGGTCAATCCGGGCCTTTCTTGGACAGTCCCAAGACTAGCCTAGCAGACTCCCTTGCCTGGGCGTGGCTGAAGATTCAGCAGGAGGAAGACAGTGGGCAGGATAGGTGATCATCACCCTTAACCTCGATGCAATTTTCGGCAGGGCTGCATCTTGCAAAGCCGCGGGTATCGAATGGATTCTTTGGGGTAGAGGAAGGTGATGACTTCCTGTTGTCACCGTTCCTTGGTGGTTATATTATCTGTTCAAGGTCTGTTCACTGAACTCTTCAATGGAACCCTTTGGGCACGTTATTCTTATTAGAAATCAGTCTACTTCAGGAAAACAAAGAAAAACAGCTTTCTAGAGAAATAACTGCACTAGAAGAAAGAGAGTATGGCCACATGCCAACGGATCTGTAAAAGTGAAAAATATACATTGTAACCTGGATGTGTCCCGAAATGACGCCCAAAGTTACAAACTACTACTGTGACAGGTGACAAACATCAAAATTGGTGATAGTAGAATGCAATCTGCTAACATTGTACTCTCATATTTAAGACTCAGACAATGTTCTTGACAAACTTTAGTCAGGAAACAGATGATTCTTGGTTCATTCCACAAATAAAAACACATTTAACCATTCAAGGAGCAGGCACAAGCAAACGCTGTGCAGGCCAGAGCTCACCTCTTTGAACTTGTGACTGAGCTTGTTCGTGTCCAGGTCTGATGGGGAGAACATGTCCTCATTCTCAGGGAGCTCAAAGACTTCAATGGCCATGTCACCGCCAGGAAGAGTGGGCCCGACCTCCTCCTCCTCTTCATCAGTAGCATATTCTCCAGTCTGAAAGGCAGAGGATTTCAGAAATACAGCTCTCCTTATCCTACACGGAGTTGTTATTAAAACAATCATTTTTGTAAGAGAAAAGCATGTCACCAAATGTCAAGAGTGTTAATGTTTAAATCAAGCATGCCTCATGCGCCCAATGTTATACACAAATGTTAGTGCAGAGACCCAAACTACCGCAGAGACGTGCAATGAACAGTGGACAGCATCAGCAGTGAGAGCTGCTTCTCACTCGAAGTATCTGACAGTTTTACTAAATACAATCACATTGCTAAGGAGATAATTGCTTTATTACGTCTGTTTATGTGTGTGTATACATGGGAGGGCACATACACGCTACAGCACATATGCAGAGTCTGAGAGCACTCTATGGGAGAACGTTCTCTGCTTCCATTATGGGCGTTCCAGGGATTGAACTCAGGTCATCAGGCTTGGTGCCACACACTTTTGTCTACTGAGCCATCTCAACAGCCTCGGAAACAAGTAAGGCCTTTAAATTCCTACTTCCTAAGCCATCTACTATCAGGAGCAAGGAGGAAGGGACCAGAGGTCAAAGATTTACAGAGTCGGCAACCTTAGCAAATAAACTTCCATCACTCCAGAGTCCGACCACGCATGTTCTGTTTGCTAATGACAGAGGCATGAGCTGGTGAAGGACAAACCCAGGCCTTCTAACCATACAAGGGCCACATTATACCTGCAGAGGACTCCAATGAAACCATCTTGTCACATCTTAGTCAGTCACCTAAGTTTTTAGATTTCTAGCTTTTTCTTGGAGAGCCAAAGATCTGTTCACACTCTAAGACCATCTCTGCTGTGGTGGCCAGCTGAGATGGGGCATTCATACCCTAGCTCACACCTTCATTAACTAGTGTGCTGCTCTTAGCTTGCTCCTCTCGAAGGCCAGGAGAACCCTGTAGTTATTTGAGTTCATGACCTATGAAATAAATGTATGTCTCTGTCACGAACTTCCTCAACATTATTGGAAAGTAACTCCACTTGGCAGCACCAGGGTATGAGGCTATAATTCAAAATAATTGCCTGACATCTTTACCTTATGTAATTTAAGGATAAATCACAGATTCCATGGGTTAAAAAGACCAAATTCATATAATTCATCCCTGCTCCTTCAGGAGGTAGCTTTTTCAACACAGAAAGTGCAGATATGAATTCCCATTGCCTTCAAGCAAGCCTTCATACACAATGGGGTGATGGATTCCTTTGATTAAGCAGCCTCCGCTCTGTGCATTGCTCGTCCTGTATTGCTCGCCCTGCCACTGTGGGAGATGGGTCTTTACCTTGGCAATGAAGGAACTCTGATCATTCGCCTCCAAGTGATCCTTCCTAGTCAGGAAGGCCAGCATTCAATTGCCTTCAGACGTCTCTTTTCCACACAAAATAATTGCACTTTGTCAGCAGTACAAATTTCTTTCTCTCTAAACATCATGGCTGTGCTCTGATTTCTTTCCTAGAGCCTCAGCATTTCTTTAGCCATGGATCCGAGAAGTGGACAATGTCTACTAAGACACCTGTGAGTCAGTGACGCGGACAAACTGCCTCAGTACCTGCTGGACCCTTCTTCCTCACACACGGACTATTAACATGGAGACCACAACCTCATGGCATTTGTCTAAAGAAATAAGGTTAAAATTTTTCATGTAAAAACAGCAGTTTTAAAACCAGCCACAGGAAAGCTGGGTCCCTTCTCTTCCTTTCTCATTCAAGTAAATTAAAGACATCTTAACTGGAAGGAAAAGAGGTTAGTATGAGTGACTCATTCCTTTGAACATGCTAGAAGTTTAGGATTCTTTAGACACTTGTTTCAAAAGGCAGGTCTAACCTGTGCCTACCGCCCAGGCTTCATGAGGACAACTATATAAATGGCCAATGCAAAATCATAAGCTTAAACTATTATGCATTTTCTTTTGAGATTTCTATTAACTCAATTTCATGTATTTTGAGCACGAACCTTGTAGACTACAGTGTCATGTTACAATGGCACAAGACATTCTTGGGTCAACTTTAAGTACTATTCCAAGTATCTTTGACACTACCCAATGGAACACAACGATGGTTTTAGGTAGCTACTAAGACACTCTTCATCAGAATCAAAAGTGTAAGCAATTCTTACTTCTGAGAATAGTTCTGGCCTTGTCTATGATATCCCTCATCATAATTATCTCTGCAAAAATATGTTAAGATTTCTACATGCTTATTTTGTACGCTTTTTTAAAAATTGTATTCTTATATGCATGGGTTTCAGGTCTGCTGTAAGTGGAGTCACAGACAGCTGTGAGCTGCCATGAGGGTGCAGAGGACCCAGGTCCTCTGGAGGAGCTGTCAGAGCTCTTAAGCACTGAGCCATCTCTCCAGCCCCAGAATTCCAGTTTCTTTTATTTTTGATTTCCCCAGGTTCCTTTCTTCCATAAATCCAAATCACTCCCAGCTCTCCTGGAATTGTAACTCTTTCCCCCTTTCCAGTTACTAGTGCTCTCTCTTTCCCACCGGGCTTATACGCGTCCCGAAGCCAAAGTATGTCTTTCCGTGTCTTGAGTCCCCTTTATTGCCCTGAGTCTTATTTTTTTTAAGCCCTGGAGAGTGTGTGGCTTGTAAAAATATGGAATTCTCTCTCACCAACCATGTGCAATTCCTACTGTTGGGAACTTTGAATGCTACAGAACACCATAAACATCTGGACGGAGAAAGCTATGTTTAGCAGACAAAGAATAATACACTTTCCTGACTCCTTTATCTTTATTGAAAATCTTAATGATTTTTATGGTTACCCTGCAAAAAAATAAATGCTATGGAACAAAAGATTAGCATCATGTTGTAAACCTCGAGGCAAGGCCAAACCCACTCTTTGCAGAGAAAGAGGAACAATGTCTTACATACCACCTCTCCCCACCCAAAAAAGCGCCACGAAAGCTTCCTGCTACCACCTATCTCCCTGGTAGCCAGCTTCCTGCCTACTGATCAAATTTAAACTCTTTAAAACAACTGGATTCTTGGCATTCTTCTCACTGTGTAATCTACTTTAGATGTGGCAAGGGCAGTTCTCAGTAACTGAGAAACGGTGAACATCCTTCCCTATGTTCTGTTTATCTTGTTCATAATTCCTTTTTCTTTTTCATGGTCTCATGATAAGTTGTGGAATAAAGAATCCTACTTTAGAAACTTAATGTTTGTCCAGCAATATGCAATCAACAGCTAGATGACATGGGTCTGAATACGCCATCTAAATTTGAATAAACAGACTCAGAGATTTCACCCAAGGGCCATCAGTTAAGTTGAAACTATTACCTAACAGATCCCTGAAACCAGCATTCCTCCTTGTATGCGCTGCCATTACCAATCTACAGAAACAAAACCTTGGCAGGGCAGAAAATAACAAGAATATACTTCTTCAACATTTCTTCAAATGTAAAGTTTCCCAGTATGAGCCTGCCGTGTTGAGAGCTACCATTCACAGTTCTGATTATCATTAAATTCATTTTGAAGTTGTGTACATGTGTCTGCTGGGATCCAAAGTTCTGGTCTTTGCTTTTCCTTGTAGTATGCTTATCCTGATCAAGCACAAAAGAAAAAAAAAGAGGAGTTCCCTTTGGGAGGACAGGGAAGCAGGAGCAGCAATGGCTGGGGATTATAAAAGAGGGATCACTGAAAAATCCAACATTTTTTTTTCTCTGAAGTCTTAGGCATGTCCAGCACAGTGACAAATCTTCTCCTGGGCTCAAGAACCTGCTGACTGTTGCTTCATGCTTTCTTTCTAAAAAAAAAAAAAAAAAAAAAAAAAACACAGCCAGAATATATAATCACTAAAAGTTAGAAAGGATGAAAATGACTTCCGCAAGGGAAGAAAGGTGCCAGATTCCCCTAGTTTCTGTTGTCAGCCTTCCCTTGCTCTTCTCACACTTTATTTTATGACCTCTGGCCTCACTCTTCCCCAAATATTCTTCCATCACTGCTTCTCCCACTTTCTCAAGACATGAATGCTTCAGGCCATAGAGATTTTATTACATGACAATGATAAAGAGGAGTGCCCCGTCAGGGTACACCTCTGGGTAAACATAGCTTCTGCTTGCTAGGAAGAAAAGCATTCAGACAAACTGAGCCTTGAGCACACACTAGAGACGCAGGCATCAGCCTATGTCTTACTGAAGGAACAGAAACTACCCAAATGTAGCAAGACAGTGAAGCAGGCTCCATAAAAGGATCATAGTTGTGTGGTCACGTACATATGGATTCAAATGCTGGTTTTGAGATTTTGCAAGTGAACTTCCAGACCAAAATTTCGGTTGTTTCATGTGTCAAGTGAAAAACAAAGAAAGCAAACAAACAAACAAAAAACAAAACAAAACAAAAAAAAAAAAAACAGTTCCTTGCCAGGACAAGGGCGTCACTGTTAAATTACAGGGTGCCTAAAAAGCGTTTTACAGAAAGGTACGCACATGATAGATGGTGACAATAGCTGGTCGTTGTCATTGCTGTTGTTGGGACCAGTGCTGCAGTGGTGACACTCTCCGTGAAGTCTCACCAAGCCTGTATCTGGCAGCCAGACGACACTAAGCATTTCTCTTGTAGGATTCCTTAGGTCTCCACACATGCATCTTTTGCCAGGACTCTGACATAAACCATTCCTTTCCTAAACCGGTTCCTTCCTCCTGCTGCAGTATGAATCTGTTAATACCAAACTCAAAAGCCCTGTGTCTCAGCATGTCTCATTACACCCTCCCACCTGTCAGCCTGGTCAAAGACACATGTGCACTCACATCAGAGTATCCTGTAGCTGTGGCCAGTAAGACTCCCTCCTCTTCCCTATGCCCCAGTGCACACCTTCATCTCTCAGAACACTCTCAGTCACATCTGCCTTTTCCCATCAACTGGAACTTCCTCAACTGTGCCAGGTACCATTTATCCCTCTAATCCCAGAGGCCAGTGACTGTTTGGCATCTAGTAGGCCCTGAACAAATGTTTGCTGAATAAATTAAGGCAGT